GGGATCGAGTCCCGCATCGGGCTCCCTGCTCGGCGGGGAGTCTGCTTCTCCCTCTGACACTCCTCCCTCTCATGCTTTCTGTCTCTCATTCTCTCTCTCTCAAATAAATAAATAAAATCTTTAAAAAAAAAAAAAGAGAGTACGAATGTAAGCAGCGGGGAGGAGGAAGAGGGGGAAGGAGAGAAAGAATCACAAGCAGGCTCTACACACAGCACGGAGCCCGAAGTGGGGCTCGATCTCACCACCCTGAGATCATGACCTGAGCTGAAATCAAGAGTCAGGTGCTTAACTGACTGAGCCACCCAGGTGCCCCCACACACATATACTTTTTATTACTGGTCATAAGTACGTGGAAGTGAGCAAACTGGAGTTGAAGCCCTGGCCTCCCCACTTCTTATTCATGTTGCCTCGGGCAGGTCATTCAATGTCTCTGTGGCTCAGTTTCCTCCCCTTTATCACAGAGATGATGATAACTCCGGCAGGGCTGTGTGCAGCACTGCAACAGGTAGTGATGCAGTGCTAGTCTCTGGCATGTGGCAAGAACTCAATGAACTTGAAGGAGTAAAACCGCAGATGCCAATGTCATATGTATTAAGTAGGTATGATATTGCTAGTGACGGCTATTCTGCTTCCGTGAGCAACTAACCTGTGTTTAGGAACAGCTTCAGAACAGCCAGTGTAAGTTACCTGGGCAGCACCAAAGCCCTCAGTTCTACCGGTCGTGGGGTGCCCCGGACATGAGTGCCTCTGCATTAGGCTGGCCGAATGATCAAGAGTAGGCAGAGAAACACAGCAGCAAGCCATTCCCACCGGCAAGGACTGCAGAATGACGAGGACAGTCGGTTTATAACCTCCAGCACATAGTAACCAGTGTCACACCAAGGGGTTAGAGTGGCAAGTATACGTGTGTCCTTTCCCCTTTGTGTTGGATGGTCACTTAATTTAACATTGGAATCAGAGGAATGAAATGCCAGTAGCACCCAATCTTTCATGGATGCTTTTTTTTTTTTTCTTTTAAATCATGGATGCTTATCAAAAGAAATGAAGGTCTAGAAGTATAATTTTAATCGCTAGCTCCTCAATTTGTTACTAATTTGATTTTTTAAAAAGATTTTATTTAGGGGCGCCTGGGTGGCTCAGTTGGTTAAGCGTCTGCCTTCGGCTGAGGTCATGATCTTAGGGTCCTGGGATCGGCCCCACGTCGGGCTCCCTGCTCAGTGGGGAGTCTGCTTCTTCCTCTCCCTCTGTTCCTCCCCCCACCGCTCATGCTCATCCTCTCTAATAAATAAAAAATCTTAAAAAAAACATAGTGATCCTAGCTCCACAGATCCCTGTGAATGCCTAGGTGGGCCAGAATTTGGGGAGCACTGCTCAGTAATACCTTATCTGTCCTGTAACAGCTAAGGAAGCTGGACTGCAAGCCTGGCACAGAACATGGTGAGTGAGCCCTGACTGAAGAAAGTTCTGTATCAAGGTCTCCTTACACTATAAATCACTGATCTCACCCCGCCCCTCCACTTTTCCGAAGGACACACTCGTGGAAGCATGGAGACACATGCCTCGCAGCCACGTCAGCCCTGGAGACCAGACCACAGCCAGATCATCTGAGTGGGAGAATCCAAAGCTGGAGGGCAGATGAGTGGGCCTCTGCTTTTAGGGTAGCATTATAGCTACCCCCAATGTAACCTAGCCCCCAGAGCTCTGAAGAGCATCTCATTATGTGGTGGCTTCAGCACGTCGGCAAGGCTTCAGCTTGCCCACAAGCACGTCGACACAGTGATAGTCATGCCTTCAAAACACCAGCTGTACTAGAACTGGAGCGGAGGAGTCAGAAGTCTCTCAGCAGAGATCAAAGACACAGCCGAGGGGGTTTGTGCTGACAAAGCTAATTGAATGGTGTTTGATTTGGGACATATTTACTTTGGAAAATACCCAACACCGGCCCAGCACCAAAGTTCACATTGAAACCCGCTGATGACCTTGGCTCATTTCATCTTTGCAACACCACTTCTCAGAAGCACAGAGGTGAGTTTGGTTTCTATTATAAATTCTTATTTGCAGTGGTTAGAGATGGGTAACTGGTGCATTTCTCTATCAAACTACAAATTCAAAAGCTTTCTACACTGTCTTAAAAATGGAAAAATTGTTTTGTTTTTTAGTCTGCCTAATACAACATTCTGTCAGGTACATTACTGAGACAATTGACAAAATTGGAATAGGAACTAGAACGGAAAGTATTGTGCCTGTGTTAAATTATCTTAAGTGCATAATGGTACTGTGATGGTGCATGAAATATCCTTGTCCTTAGGTATTTTTTCCCTGAAATATTAGAATTAAAAGTTAGAGGGACACACTATAAGTGACCTACTCTCAAAGGTTTCAGAAAAGAAAAGAGTATATGTGTGTGCCTGCTTGTGTACACAAAGCCATAAAGCAACTGTTCCAAATACAAAAGCTAGTGAATCTGGGAAAAGGGTGTACAGGGGCTATTCTCTACGCTGGTCTTTCAACTTTTCTAATGTTTGAAGTTATTTCAAAGTGAAAGGTTTTTAAAACTTCAAGCAGTCACTTCTCTCCCATCACATCTGCCCTCTTTGGGCCTGAAGACATAGCCAGGAGGGACTAAGGTGTCCAGGTGTTATGCTCTGATGTGTGACCAAAAAGGCCAACCTTGCTCCACACCGTTGGCATGAGAAAGCGCCATGTAAAGTTCCCAGAAAGGCAAACTTTTGAATGATTCACCTTTAAAAAATACTGCTTCTCTTCAAAGATAGTCCCCTGATTTAAACATAGCCTAGTGGTAGTTTTAAAGTGTCTTATATAATTCTTGTTATACTAAATGGCAGAATGATAGGAAGATTGGCCTTTTTTTTTTTAAGATTTTATGTGTGAGAGAGAGAGAGAGAGAGTGCACAAGCCAGGGAGAGAAGCAGAGGGAGAGGGAGAAGCAGACTCCCTGTTGAGCAGGGAGCCCGATGTGGGCTTGATCCCAGGACCCTGAGATCATGGCCTGAGCTGAAGGCAGACACTTAATTGACTGAACCACCCAGGCACCAAGACTGGCCTTTTAGATCCTTAATTTCAAACCACAGAAAATATCAGAGAGCTTTTCTCCTTCCTCTGGTAAGTGAATAATGAACACTATTTTTGGCTTTTCATCATATAATGCAGGAACAGGGTATAAGAAGCTTCCAAATATACTATATGAACACAGGGTAAAAAACATGAACGTCTTCACCTCTGCCTCCTTATCTGGTCCCAGATTCCTTTTCCTGAACTCTTATTCATTCAAGTTGTTTTTTTCAACCTTGTTTTTGCCTGACAAGGATCTTCCTAAGTGCAGCCTAGCAAGAAGACTTCCACCAAGTTGCTCGCTTTCTTCTTTTCTAACTTTTTACAGTGTATTGTTATCAATATCCGTGCCCAGTTCTATCTGGACACTGGGCCCAGTTCTACCTGCAGCCAGACACATCAGAAATGGCTTCTCGTGTGCAGGCTATGTGTGCAGCACCACAGCCTCAGCTGGATGCTGGGGGGAGGGTGTGGGGTGGGAAGAGGCAACAGACATTTTCAAAGTCAGAAACGTATGTGACCTGCCCTCTCCAAAATGTGTGATTCAAAAGTTTTTCGGTGGTGATTAGAACAGCATTTGAGCTGATTATTTTCACGGTATTGCAGGGGAAGACCCAAGGAGGGAGATGGCGGTTGGGGGGGCGGCGGGACAGAGAAACCAGTCCCGGTGTTCCGAGGCAAAGAGGCAGAGGTTCCACTGCCACATACAGCGACATAAGGCTCAGTATCCTGGTATATAAAATGTTAGAAGGATGACGTTAGGTTACATAGACGAAATTCCTTGCACAGCACCTGGCATCGAGCAGACGCTCTATCAAGAGTCACTGCTGTCATCAACATCAACAAAACTGACAGCATCACCAGTTGGGTATCTGTATAGCTAGGCCCAAATTCAGACTAACAAGTCCACATATTTACTTAACAGATGCCAGTGATTCTTATCTGGCCTAGACTGGAAGCAGATATTCTGGTCCTCAAATAGGAGATGGTTACATACACACAACAAACTTGACGAGACACAGTTCTTCTTTCCGGGCTGCTCAGAAGTGACACGTACGATGGTAGAACATTATAAGTGCCTACTGTTGCTGTCCTGGAGAAACACAGAAACATCGAATAATAGCTCATCTACCCAGAATGCAATTAATATGCAGGAAGTGAGCAAGAGAAAGATAAAGCCATTTGGCAGGTAAAACTGATTTGACAAGTCAAGATACATCCTTCCTTGGAACAAGGCACAGGATGGGTAGATAAAGACAGGCTTACCACAGTGTATGTATTAAAAACTTGTTTATTTAAAGATTTTTATTTATATTAGAGAGAATGAGAGAGAGCACGAGCAGTGGGAGTGGCAGAGGGAGAAGCAGATTCCCTGCTGAGCGGGGAGCAGGACAAGGGGCTTGATCCCGGGACTCTGGGATCATGAGCTGAGCCGAAGGCAGATGCTTAACCGACTGAGCCACCCAGGTGCCCCAAAACTTATTCAAATAAAGGGACTGCCCCTCAGGCCTTCTAGTGAGAGCTTTCCGACATCATCCTCACACAGACCTTATACACCTGGTAAGATTGCTCCTAACCCCATGCTAGAAGCAGTTCAGTAAAAAAGATTTAGTAGGTCCTCCTGACAGCAGCAGAAGCCAAGTAACAGATGCAGAGAAGAGAGGACACCTGTGGTAAGCCATACAGCCTTACAGCCTCTGGGGCTCCAGGGGAAAGTCAGGCTGCCGGCCACCTTCCACCAGGCACCCAGAGGATCTCTGCATCACGACAAATTCCAAATGTTATGCAAATTGCACAACCCCAAATAACGACACAAATTTCACATATCTTTAGGATATTTGTTTGCAGAGAGCCTGGCCTGTACGCCTTTTTCAACATCTCTACTCAGACCCCACTTCCCAGGGAAGCTTGGTGAAGCTCCCCTGGCAGCCCGCTCCTGCCCCAGGAGACAGGGCCACACCCCAGCTCTGTAGCCCCATCTGCTTTGGTAGTGTCCTTATGAGAGCCCCTCTGCTTTACTGCACGTCTGTTCCCTGTCTGGCTGGCAGAGCCCCTTGGTGGGGGACACCTTTGTGCCTCCAGTGCCTAATATGTTATTTGGAAAACAGGAGACAGAGTTTGGTGAGTGAATGAAAAAGAAACTCTCTGGGAACACTGAATCCCCAGGAATATATATATATTACTGAAAGGATTCTCAGGTTGGGGCCCACAGATCCTTCAGGTAGGTTTATGAAGCCACACAAAATGTTCGGTATCTGTTTATCTTCATCAGCTTCTCTGAAGGTGCATGATCTTAAAATGGTTAAGGACCGATAGTCCCACGGCATCTTCTGGGGTGAAAGCTATGGGCTTGCCCTCTGAGCACTGTAGTGGCCAGTCCCGTAGGCCGCCTTTCACCCTGTTGCTGGTTTTCTCTCCCAGCTTTAGCTCTGCCAAAATGAAACGCCTCTTCCAACCTCTCATCGTTTCTCTCATACTAATGTCCATGCGTGGGAGCAACAGCCTGGCCAGTCAGCTTGAGAAAGGAGGGGAAGATTCTCCATCAGCAGATCCCCAGTGGGGGCAGTTAAGTAGCAAAAACCTGAGCATGCCCCTTCTCCCCGCCGACTTCCACAAGGAAAACACGGTCACCAACGACTGGATCACAGAGGGGGAGGAGGACGAGGACTATCTGGACCTAGAGAAGATATTCAGCGAAGATGATGACTATATCGACATCATTGATGCGGTTTCGCCAACCGATTCAGAGGCCGGTGCTGGGAACATCCTCGAGCTCTTCCAAGGCAAGAGCCGGATCCAGCGTCTCAACATTCTCAATGCCAAGTTCGCTTTCAATCTTTACCAAGTGCTGAAGGAGCAGGCCTGTGCTTCCGACAACATCTTCATAGCCCCAGTGGGCATTTCCACGGCCATGGGTATGATTTCCTTTGGACTGCAGGGGGAGACCTATGAACAAGTGCACTCGATTTTGCATTTCAAAGACTTTGTCAATGCCAGCAGCAAGTATGAGATCATGACCATTCACAATCTCTTCCGTAAGCTGACTCATCGCCTCTTCAGGAGGAATTTTGGGTACACACTGCGGTCTGTCAATGATCTTTACGTCCAGAAGCAATTTCCAATCCTGGATGACTTCAAAAGAAAAGTAAGAGAGTACTACTTTGCAGAGGCCCAGGCGGCTGACTTCTCAGACCCTGCCTTCATATCAAAAACCAATAACCACATTCTGAAGATCACCAAGGGTCTCATAAAAGACGCTCTGGAGAATATAGACCCAGCTACTCAGATGATGATTCTAAACTGCATCTACTTTAAAGGTAAGAAATAGCTTTAAGTTACTCAAAACAAACTCGTGACATACTCTTTTAATGTGCAGATGGACTGAACATCAAGAACTGTATTCTCTAGCTCAATTGATCCAGGAAACCAAGACACAAGGTCAGCTCACAGGGAAGATCAGGATGAGATGACGGTAGCTGCTGACGCTGAGCCCTAACTCTGTGCTTTATGCTCACAGAAACTTCACCACAACCTTGCTATTAGCATCCCATTTTACAGACAGAGCCGTCAAGGCACAGGAAGTAAAATGATGCTCCCAGGGCGCACAGCCAGTAAGGGACAGAGCCAAGGTTGCACCAGGCAGGCCATCTCTAGTGCTTTGTTAAATTGGAAGAAAAAATGAAAAACCTTTTTAGCATTTGGCCATCTTGGATTTGAGTTTTTTTCATCTCCTCTCCCAATTATCAGTAAGCAGGAATATGGACAAGAGGCTGAAGACAGGTGTCTGAAAACTGTTCAGCTTGACTAACATTAATACCTGCAACTCCTTTTTGGGATACTTGTGCACTAATGGGCAGGAGGGGGTGGGGAAATAAACTATTATTTCCAGACCAACTATTCTGGGCCAGACAAGAAAGGAGGACATTCCCCACCACCATACCACTACACAGACATAGGACCCCTGGGATCCTGGAAGCAAATGGGCAATGGACTTGTAAAATCCAGACCTTGTTCACAGTGCCCTCACTGGGGCTTGAACTGGAAGAAACCTCTACCTCAGTCTACAAGCCTAGAGAGCCAAAGGGCAGACACTAGGAATGGGTCCACATCTCAATGACTCATGGTGACACATAACCACTCTCCTCTCTGCCACCAAAACCTGGTGGGCACTAGCTAGAGTCAGTCCCTGAGGCCTGGGAGGCTATGCTTCCTCGCTAGTTAGCTCCAGCACAGGTTACAGCAGCCCAGGGAGGCGAAGGACAGGGGCCCTCTCTTGGCTGCCGCTCTGGGGTGGTGGGGCTGCCGAGGGAGGGCCAAGGCCTTCCAGCAGCTGCGCCAGGCGGGCATTCTGCCAGATGGGCAAAGTAGGGCTGAAGCAGCCAAGACCGCAGGAGGGGCATGGAGGCTGAGCCAGACCCCTGGGCTTCCCTCTCAAATGCCAGGCACACCGAAGGCTTGTAGTGGGTCATCAAAGGCTGAGGCTCTAACAGGCTTGTGACAGACACACAGACACATGCCGTATATATAATGAACACACACTTCTTTGTTTTTAAGAGAGAGAGTACGGGGCGCCTGGGTGGCTCAGTTGGTTAAGCGACTGCCTTCGGCTCAGGTCATGATCCTGGAGTCCCGGGATCGAGTCCCGCATCGGGCTC